CATTATCTAGAATCCATTATTAAGTACCATAAATCTCACATAGTTGTATGTCCTGTACTTTTATATGAATAGCAGTGGAGTCAGTCTGTTTATTACCAGCAGAGCCACAAATACATGAGTAATGTGTTGCACTGTGGCATTATGGCAGCCGAGATATCACTAGGTGACAGGACATTTTTGACCTTACTGACATTGTATGGGGCCATCATTGTGTATGTGGCCCATTGTTGACTGAAATGTTGTTATGCAGTGGACGACTGTGTTTCAAATTCAAGTGACCTTGGTTGGTAAGGTTAATTTTTGTGGGTAAGCCTCATTTGCAAAATGGGACTAATAATAACTATCCTAGCCAAATGCTTTGGTTGCAGCAAGTGAGTCATAAATCCAGAAACAGTAACCTGGATTCTTGGTCCCAAGTTTCTGGGCTCAGTCTTGCAGGAAACAAGAGTCCTGGGGATTAGACATAGCTCATTTCTCTCTGTTGGTAGCTGTGGCAACAAGGGAAGCAAACATAAATCAGGGTGTACGGATGCTTCCTGGCCTATGATAGAGTAACATCTTGATAAAACCATTTTAGTTGAAAATATCCTAAGTAAAAATTGCGTTACTGGGGCCAGCAGGTGGTTCAAGTCCCAGACCAGACAGCTTGACACTCACACCGGGTGCGTGTGTGCGCGTGTGCCCAAAATCTTAAGAAGAGAATGGAAGAGAAGAGATTGTGGAATGGCTATTCTCCCTGGGTGTGTGTGTGGGGGTGATTTCTCATTTTCTCTCTCACTCTGTGCTGAGCACACGTGCCTTATAGCAAAAGTCTCTCTTAAAAAAAAAAGAGAAAAAAATGAATGACTACACCTAACTAACCGAACATCGTAGCTTAGCTCAGCATACCGTAAATGAGCTCAGAACACTTACATTAGTGGGCAGAGTTGTATCCAAACAGTGCTGGCAGCACAGTACGCTGCAGGGTATTAATTGTTTGCCCACATGACTGCAAGGTGGAGTAGGAACTATGGTTTGCTCTTGCTGCCCAGTATCACAAGGGTATCTTAGCCTAGAAAAAGATCAAAATTCAAAATATGGCTTCTATTAAATGTAAATTATTAATACTTTCATTCCTTCATAAAGTGAAAAAAAAAAAAAGGTTAAGTAGAACTATTTTAAGTCAGAGACCATCTGTATTTATATTATAGAAGCACTTTGTTCCAGAACCTCCTTCATAAGATCCTCTGACTATTAGGTTTATAGTGGGTTTTCACTCTCTGAATTCCCAAAACACATTGCAGGCTTCACTCTTAAACATGATCTCCAGGGGGCTGGCCCCAGCCTCATACTCTAGTGGTTAAGGGAAGCCAGATCCCACATGGGCAACTTCCAATCCTGGCTCTGGTGGCTTGAACAAACATGCCCAGTACACATGTGCATGCCTCAAATCCTGAAGGGAAGAAGAAATGGAGAAAGGAGTGTGCCGTGACTACGCCCCATTGGGGGTGCTTTCTCCCTCTCTCTCTCTCTCTTGCCAGTGAGCACATGTGCCTTCTGGGAATTGAAAAGAGGGAGACGTAAAAAGATATGATCTGCAGGTATTTTTCCGCATCGTATTTAAGATTAGATTGTAACCATGCCGAAGGCAGGCTATGTTTTCAAAGATCCCTTATTAAAACGAGCGTTTAGCTGGGCACAGAAGGAGATGCATCAAAGTGCTTATTAAAATGAACGGGAAGGTGCTGTCCTGGATATGAGACAAGGCAAGGCTCCTCTGGATTATACAGAAACACAGATATAGTTAAAACTGGTGTTCCCAGCTAATACTAAATATTTGAGGCCCTCAGACCTCAATATGTGATATGAAGTATTATTTTTCTTCTATTGAAATATCCTCTTGCAAGCAGAAGTCCCACAGGACAAGGCGTAAGACTGAAACTGGACAGACCAGATGCCAGGATAGCTAGATTTATTTTTGGACTGTAAACCTGGTCTCTAGGGAAA